ACTGGTGCTCATTATAACAGATAATGAATAATTATTTGTCGTGGTTCAAGCCCAGCCAGTAACTCAGAACCATGCAGCCACTCACTCACTCCCCCCTGTTTTTCCTCCCCCAACTCTGAGAGGGATGGGGAGGAGAACAGAAAGTATGTAACTCCCACGGGTTGAGATAAGAACAGTCCAGTAACTAAGGTATAACACAAACCACTGCTGCTACCACTAATGATAAGGGAAATTAACAGGGTAAGAGAATACAACCACTTATCACCCACCAACCGATACCCAGCCCAACCCAAGCAGCGATCAAGCTCTTCTGGGTAAATCCCCCAGGTTATATACTGGGCATGATGTGCTGTGGTAAGGAATAACTCTTTGGTTAGTTTGGGTCAGGGGTCCTGTCTCTGCTTCCTCCTGGCTTTTTGTGCCCCTCCTCACTGGCAGAGCATAAGACTGAGAAAGTCCTTGATCAGAGTAAATATTACTTAGCAACAACTAAAAGCATCAGTGTTATCAGCGTTGTTCACAGACCAAAAGTCAAAAAACACAGCACTGCACCAGCTACTAAGAAGGAAAGAATTACTGCTACAGCTGAACCCAGGATATTAGGTAGTATTAGATATCGTATTTACTAAATGGCTGTCATAGATTCCCTCTTAAAAGTATCCATCACAGTATTTTAGAATAATTTAAAAAATACTAAAATACTATTGCAATAAAGCACAGTGTAATGAGTAGGAGAAAGAAACAGGTTCTAAAAAAATGATGAGATACTGCTTAGTAAGTTGACCTTTCAGAAATACCCCCACCTTTACTTATCTTCAAAATAAAAGGCAAGATTATTTTTAATTACAGCTTAGGAGCATGATAAGTTTTCATAATGAAGTCACTCACATTTGAGCCAGCTACAGTTTTGCTGTTATACCGTGGAATAACACTTGAGTTAAGGTTGCATGACAAATACTGTTCTGCTCTGTTGTATTTCGGATTCATAATTCTGCATTTTTTCAGCTATGACATAACTTTTTTCTCCAAGATAAGTCTCTAATTCCTCAAGAAATATTACACAGGGACAGAAGGACAAACTGTTCAAATGAAGACATTCCCTATAGAAAAGTTAAAGTGCAAAACCCCCAGCAGAGATGATATTCTTTTGCGAGACGAGTAGTAAACTTTTCCCATTGTACAGGAAAAGATCTTGCTCTTTAAAATATCTTTAACCATGGAAAACAGCAGAGGATTGAGAACTAGAATTTGATTTAAAGACAACCCTCACTAAAAAGAAATGCCTATGAGTGTATTGTCAAAAATTGCCTTAGAAAAGCTTTTCGAACATGCACTGTCTGCATACGTGCCTGAATAGGAATTTGTTAAGCTTCTGAAGAACAAGGATGGGGAAGATTGCTCTGAATGCACGTGTGTTGCTAACTCCACAGGGAGAAGGCAATGTGAAGCAACATGAAAAATTGGTTGTACTTCTGGCTACTGTGCAAAGTTGCTCTTTCCACAAGCAAAACCAAATTCCATTGGTATTTCACTATTTACAACACTTACAGAGCAAAGTTTGCTGAATGGCATTAATAATACATTTATGTTTTCATTTTCTCAGGTTTACTGGTTTGCTTTTCTGGGTTAAATCACATGAGAGTTGGCTACCGTTATTTCTTACTAAGGTTTTCTATTCCTTTTGCTAGGTATCACTGACACTCCTCTAAATGTACTGTCTTCACACAAATAAAACATAATGATTCCGTTAAAATAATGGTATACCATGGACTCAGGTGGAGTATCTCTTGCTCTACTGGAAAAAACTTTGCTCCAAATATGCCTGACTATGGCCTTATGTCCTGGTTTCAGCTGGAATAGAGTCAATTTCCTTCCCAGTAGCTGGTGTTTTGGCTTTAGTCCAAGAACAATATTAATAACACACCAGTGTTTTAGTTGTTGCTCAGTAGCGCTTACTCTGATCAAGGACTTTTCAGTCTCTCATGCTCTGCCAGTGAAGAGGGGCACAAGAAGCCAGGAGGAAGCAGAGACAGGACCTCTGACCCAAACTAGCCAAAGGGGTATTCCATACCACAGCACGTCATGGCCAGTACTGGGGGGAATCACGCAGAAGGAACCAATTGCTGCTCAGGTCAGGCTGGGTGGTGAGCAATTGTACTATGCATCACTGCTGATTGTTGTTTTGGGTTTTTGTGGTTTTTTTTCCCCTCCCCCTTTTAGTTTGATATCTCTTTCCTTGTCATTTCCCTATTATTATTAGTAGTATTAACATTAGTAGTAGTGTTAATATTGTATTGTACTTCAGTTATTGGACTGTTCTTATCTAAACTTCTGGTGTTCACATTCTTCCAAATCTCCTCCTCATCCCGCCCAGAGAGTGGAAAGGCACAGGGGGGGTGAGCACATGGCCGCATTGTGCTGAGTTACTGGCAGGTCTTAAACTATGACACCTCAGATGATTTCCTAGCAATGATCCATGTCACACTATGCACAATGCATAGTGAAAATGGTAGCTGAGTTTAGTGTTACCAAAGCTGAGATGCAACATGCAAGCACTCCCAAGGGAATCTTGCTACCAACTTTCCTTAGATTAAACTCAAAATCTTAAAGTGTTTTTGAATAAGCTTAGATTCTCTTTTATATTTATAGAGCACATATCCTATGGGATTGAAAATGACAGGCATCTGCTGTGGTAAAGTTGGATGTAATATGACTATGATGACAGAATTTGCGTTCTCTCTTTATGCAGAAATGCAGACTTTCTTGAAGACGAATTAATAAAATCCAAGAAAGGACAGTTCTCCCCCTTGGTATAAACCCACGTATGATTGAGAACAGGGGCTTGGTTTCATTTCACAGTCTAATATAAAAGCTCACTAGCTCTGAGACAGACTACACCAAGGAGACAGAGCATTTATACTGCTCTGCTTCGTTACACCTTTTTTTTCCAAACCACAGAATAGAATTTCTTTTTCAATCTTCATTTCTACAGCAAGAAGGCAGGAAAGGTTATTATCATGTTGCTAAGGGAAATGCATCATCCCATCATCAAATGCTAGTATTATAGATTGACAGTATTTGGAGAGTTATGGCTTGTAAAACCAGTCATTCACATTACTACTGGAACAATATTGCTGTCTCTTAGAGTGAGTCAGGAAGAAATAACAGTAACAGCTACATTTTATATTACTTTTATTTCTACTTAAGGGCATTGGCTGTGAGATCTATTTGACTTCCTGCTCTAGCTTCCATTTTGCTTGAATTCCAATAGAAAATACTTTCTGTTTTGAAAATTGAATGAAAATGAAAGATTAAATAATGCTTTCTGCCTATTTTTTTCTTGTATCATTTTCTACTGTAAAATATAAAGGAAGGAGACTTTTAATATGAAGAAATACCTTCATTTCTTTTTATTAGAACAACTATTCCACGTCAAAGAAGTCATTTACAACCCATTTTGAGCTATAGAAGGAACATTTCCTTTAAAAATAAGTAAGGGCAAAACCAAATACACGAGAGTGTATTTGCCAGAGTGCTCCTGATGCAAACAGAGCAGTGTTTGGATACCTCAGCTGAGAATTTAAGCATGAGAGTTTATTGTAAGTATTTTACTTCCTTGCCTCTTACAATTTCATCTGAGCTGAGCAGCCCATTTCTTTGTATGTGACATATCTTAGTGGTTTCCCAGGTACAGGAAGAAACAATAACTACCAAATCTGACTTACGATGTTGAATAAATTTCAATGTGCATTTAACGTGGTTTCCCAAGTTAAAAAAAAAGACGTTTGCTTTAGTATCTTGGCACAGCATTGCTCCATTTCAGCCAAATCTAACTGTGAGGTAGGGGTCTTGAAAAATTTAAACCTCCAAAGAGAAAGAAGAATCACTGAATAGCTGACTGTGGATATACCCATCTGTACCTCCACCAGGGAAACCACTGAACAAGCACAGTCCTTAACATTCTAATAGCAGGAATCAGCTGGCTAGCTAGCCGGCTATGAACTGTAGGATGTAACTCTTGCTCAGACATACAAAATATGGGAAAAAGAAACAAAAAAAAAAAAAAAAAAAAAAAAATTTTTAAGGGGTTGGGCAGGTCTGATAAGCTGGTATTTCCTGCACAAGAGGTTTGTGCAGGAGAGACGCAACTTTGCGTCATTGACCTTCATTAGTTCTACTTCCTCAGCTTTAACTCGGCATCATCACTAAGTGACTGAAATTGCAACCCAAGCTACTCACACAGCACATGGATACTTACTGGGGAAAGGGGAAATTTTAAGAGGGATGTTCCTGTGAGTGTAACTGTCCATATTATGACATGTTTGAGACAACAGTGCTGAAAAACCAATTCCCTCTTCCTTCTCTCAGCAAACAACTGGCAAGATGACTTTACTTGCAGTTGCAGCTCCAAATACCTGAAAAGCTCCAGGAGACCTCTTCCAAGAGTCAGCCTGTGTCTAAGCCTATTCTGTGTACCAGGGCTGAATACCATGAAGTCAGGTGAAAAAGTGACATAGAGCTACTTATTCCTCACAGCACAAAATTTACCAAGTTGTATCTATTGTCCCATCATTATTAAAAAAGTGAAAGGCCTGTGGCTTATGCCAAAACTGTTTCATGATGTAAATTTAATGTGTCCTGCATTTTTGCGGTAACTAATCACTGTTTCATTAAAACATGTACTTGAAATGAAATATAGTGATAAAACTGTTGATGAAAAATGATGTACACACATATACAGGAATGTACGCAGCAAAAAGTATCAAACACAGTCTTATAAATAATGGTTTAGAGCACTGGTTTGCTGGAAAAAATATACCCTCAAAACCAATGACATTTTATTCTAGGTATGTCTTGAAAATTCCATTTATATATATACATAAAAGAATATCTATAATTTAAGAACAGGAAGCAGTAACAATAACACTTTATAGTAAAGCAGATAATACAATAAGCCAAAATTCATATACAGTGTTTACTATGAAATTAATGAACTGTACCTTGAAAAATAATGGCTCCTCAGGAAGAGGGCTAACAGGGAGTGAGGTGGTGCTACTAGCTGGACTCATGTCTGTACTCTGAAAGAAAAGCACACAGCGGTTTGCATTTCCAATCAAGTTCTGCAGACATCGTTTTACATTTTGGGATTAAACAAAAAAAAAAAGCTCAAAACGAACACTGAAAATCCAACAGAATTAGATTGGCAAAACAACTGCAATCTGTACAGCATTTACCTTTAATTAGTAAAAATATTCCACTAATGGCTAAGTATTTTACATTTTCTTTATTTTAAATGAGCTCCCCATTCAAAGACTGAAACATATGCAAAAATAACATACTGTGTCTTACAAAAGAGTAATACAAGAGGTTAACTGATCACACAAAAAATTTGTTCATATGAACAACTATGGTATACAATTTTGGTTTAATTAGCATTTTTATTATTATGGGGATGTCCCAGTAGTAAAATTAGGAGCCATATTTAACAGGAAAGCAATACACTGAAAGAAAGTATTTGTATCAAAGTTTGAAAAAAATATCACTTTCACGTGAGTCAATATATCTTATAAATGAACACTAATATATGAAAAGAAACAGTGAACTGCAAAGTTAATATTGAAAATTAGTTAGCATATTTCAATGGACCTATTCGGTCAAAATGCTTGAAAGATTGGTCTCTTTTTTCAGGTAATATTTCAGTAATATATTAGTTAGTATGGTCATTATTTTTACAGATGTGACAGACATCAAAAAAGGTGTGTGGAAAATCTTAATAATTTGGAATTGTAATAATAATAGAAGAACAAAATCTGGATTAAAAAAATGCACCAAAAATTGTTATGAGGAAAACCAGAATATATGATAAATCTTAAGAAATAAGTCCTTAAGTGCTAAAACGAAAAATATCTGCCAACAAAAATAACAACAATAAACCAGAAATAATGTAAGAGAGAATATAAAAAAAAATAAAAATTTTACATGGGTTAGAAATCAATTTCCTTTTCACACTATGGCGTTGCAGTGCAGAAGGATTTAATGAATTGAACTTCTGCAATTAACTACTCAGCTGTCTGTTTCATATCACTATAAATCTATTTTGACATCTCCAAGAAGTCCAGATTCTGGAAGTGAAGAACACTGCTCCAACCATGAAGTTCTAACAGGTCATTCAGCAGATTTTTAAGCAGAGATATCATATTTTATTGAACCAACTGGTACAGGATTAAAACAGATGAAATTTTTACAAAATCCCTATGTCAAGTCTCAAGTAGAGGACACAGACTTCAAAGTTAACACCTACTGAGAAAACCACAGAGTTTAATCAGATATGTATCAGTTACACCATATCTGAAAGAAACAACAAGTTACTTGCTAAGCGAAAGAGATGTAAGTAAAAGAGAAAGGAAGGGGGCATGGTAATTATTTCCAAGGAGAAAGAAAGGTACAGGTAGTTTATAACCCATGGAACACAGAAAGTAGCTGAGGAATAGGAGAGATTATAACATGTCAGAAAGCCACTATCTTTGTTGAAGCCATTACTCTAGCATTTACAAACATAACAAATTTTAAGACTGATTCCTGCACTGGATCATTAAGGAAACTGGTTGATATTTACCTAAAGGAAGTGAAATATAACTCTTTTAGATTAAACTCAAAGTGCAGACAAAACTGGAGACCTTGTCTGTAAGAATGTTCTGCCTTAAAAGCCAACAGTTCAGCTGAGGACAATTCGTCTTTTAATTTACACAGTACAGAAAAACCCTAAAGGGGGGTGGTGAAATCAAGTAACTGCTTTCCAAACCAAATCAAGCACCCTAATTTGCACTTAGAAGTGTGTAGGAAGGTAGTCCAATCTTTTAAGCATTGAAACACTCTCAGTATGAAAACCTGCAAAGTGGATTGGTACCTGTATGCTACACGAGCTGGAAATTCTTCAGTGATAGCTGGACTCTAAGAAAGGTCAAACAGCCCTGAGGATGCCGAAGATGCTTTTAACAAAATGCCTCAAGGCTCAGCCACATGATGGCCTCAGAAAAACATCCAGTTTTCTTTGATGACTGAACACAAGCCAGCTCAGGTCTGGATGCCACAATGATGTGGCACTGTGCCTGAACTAGAAAGGCTGCTGAGAGGTGGGCTATATTAGCAGGAGCACCATGACTATATAGCTTCTGCAAATGGTTTGAGTCTGGCCAGATAGGAGCACTGGCAGAAGAGCCTGTGTCTGGCTACAGCTGTCCATGTACGTATAGCATCAGTGCTCCCTCCAACAACTTCAGTAATTTTCCTCTCTAAAGAATGCAGAGCAGGTTCTCTGCCAGTGTAAATTAATTAAATCCAGTGGCACTAATACAGTTTATTATAGTGGAGAACTGAGTGAGACAGTACCAAAAGGGTTGTTTCTTGAGCTATTAAAAAAAAAAACCTTTCCAAACTAATCACTGCTTTTAGAGATGTTGTCAGCTTGCTCTCCTGAAGGGACGTAAAAACAATTACAAATAACATCACACCTTCCACCTAAATTTACCATCCCTAAGGTATTTGTCATGATCACACTTCACATACAAAAGACACATACAAAAAATATATACATACAAAAAAAACCTATCACTGTGAGTCCAATGAGGACTTTTTATTTGATGTTGCCTGTTTATTTGATGAGCCTGTTCTCATAAAAGCAGCCACGCTTAGACTGGCTTAAAGCTGACAGATTTTAGTTATAGATTAACCAGAAGATGCTACACCATTAGGCTATAATCATATCTTTTAAGTCATAGTAGATGTTAAACATAATTTGTATCATAATGATATATATATTTGGCAAAATTAGGTAAATCAGGACATCTCCTAATTTTGCAGTACTTTGCTGTGGAAGTATAACATTTAAAAAGTATTTCTGCTGCATAGTGATACCACAGCTGCGTTTTGTAGACTGAGCCTTTTTCCTATATTGCAGGAAACCTCTGAGTGTTCTGGAGGGCAGAGAATTTGCAAAGCTTTAATCACCTAAACTCCATTTTTAAAATGTCTGAATACCAAGCAATTCAAGCATTTCTCAGAACAACAGTTTAGAAAACATCTTGTTCATGTAGAAAACAACCCTGTGACCTTTTCTTTCTGTGCTTTTTGGCATTTTTTAATTTGGTGCAGGCTGTTACAATCAGAAAATGGGCATTATTAGAACTTCTCTGATAGCTGTCACACAATTACAATGATCAATGCTCCAGTTTTCTTCTGATTTCTAGAGCTGATAAGCATAAATGTACATCATCCTCTTTGTGCAACTGGATGGGTATCATGGCATCATTCTAGACGGTGCTGATCATTTAACCCTAGAGAACAATGTTAAAAATGTGATGAATTTCAGGAAATTTCTGGATATCAAGGCAAAGGAAGAAAACAAAGTCTAAGAGAAAAGTTTTCCCACTTCTGCATCCTATTTGGGGATCCAGGATCAGGATCCTTCTTGAGGACATATTGCCACCATTTTTGCTGCATGAAAGAGAAAGCAGCTCTTTCTGAAGCTGTTTTAAAGTAGTCACAGGCTTGGTTTTCTCTTGTTTTCTTCCACTTGCTATACCCACCTCAAAACAGAATGTTTCATAAGCCTACATAGTGATGTAAATTGCCTAACAGCAGGTTAGAGAATGTAGTCAGTGTTTTTCCTGCAATACAGAAGATCAAGTATATATAAATGTGCACTGTTAAAACCACGCTCCTTTGAAAACAAGTCATCTTCCAGTCTTCAGCAACTGTTCTTTAAACAAAAACATACTCACTTTACCTCGTAAATTGTATTTTTTTTCACTACAAAACCCTTGTCTTTAATCTGATCTTCTCTATGAAGCAGCCTATGTATCAATCTTTGTTAACTGTACCATAAAATACAGACCATCCACTGTATATAATTCACTGACAGAAGCCAATTTAATTTGTTACCACTGCTTTTCAACAAGGGTAAAAACTGCAATGATAGTTGACTTCTTTGGAGATCAGCATCACAATTTATTGATCTAAGAAGTTACTACTGACAGAGAAAACCTCCACTGTATATTTGAGCTTCAGATCAAATAAATCTTTATAATAACTGAAGAAAAGATAATCTGTGTCCTTTATAGCTTCTAAGGAGCAGTGGATGAGTGTTGAACGGACTTTCAGGGTGATAGTTCTAGTTGTACCATACGTGATGCCACTGAGTATCATTTTATAACCTAGAAGTGGAGTAGAACTAGGAAATTAAATATGGGCAGTCAGCAAGCTCTGTAGTGACATTTTGATATACTGAAGGTAATCTAAGACCTGCAAATGGAGTTATTAATGGGTCTGTATAACATCTTTATGAAATATTGTGCTTAAATATTATTATCCCACTTTATCAATTAAAGTAAAAAAGAAGGGGGAATGATTTGCCCAAAGCTATGAAGTGCTGTTAAAAACAAAGATAGAAATTAAGAACTCACAAGTCCAAGCACTCCATTTATATCCAGAGTGTGCAATGCTCCCCTTTGTGCTTCTAGAGTGGCTTCTGCAGTTTCTGTATTACTTAAAGTCATGAAGAGTTTTTGCTCTTCCTGCAAATAAAATTACTATTAAAAATTAGTAATGATAAGATAAAAGTGTAGACAATGAAATGAGCCTTCACCTACCACCAGGCTTGACTAATTTCCCCCAACATCCCCAATCCCATTAAGAATGGAAGTGATTCTTTAAAATGTGTTTAGAATACAATCCAGATGGTTATTTATAAAGCTATTTCATGTGCCTTTTATCAATAGGCATACTTAATTATTATTACTAATGGGGCAATTATCAGCTGAGACATTTAATTACTATTTTCCAGTATTTGCCTGGTCCATTGCCTAGAGCTTGCTTTTCCCATAGCTTGAAAGGCTGTGCAGTTCTTGCATCTAACCTGAGTTATCAGAGCTCACATCACAGGGGTGAAGCATAAATTACAGCTGCTTCTTACTACCTCTTTTTATGCCAGTACATGAGGTGTGGATAGCCAAGTTTTTAGTGGTTCAATTACCTACTGATTCTCAACTAGCACTTAGTATATGGGTGGGCAAATCTGTCA